TCCTCCTTCAATCCTCTTACATCCATCCATTCAATCCAAATAAATTTATAAATTTTGCATCACTCAGAAGAAAAACTAGCGTCCACGGGTGCGCATTTCTGCACAGCAGCGTTCAACTCTACCATCTATCAACCAGTGCGATCCTTCGCGACACAATCCTTAAATTAAGCTTTTAAGCCTTGCACACTAACCTCTGCCATAAACTAAGCGTTTCCGCTTCGACTCATCCTACTGGCATTTCCCTAGAGACAGATAAATAAATAAACAAGTATAACTGAATTAACCTAAATTAATCTTTAAGATCGCATTCGATACCATTTAGTTTAATGCGACTGCTGAAGTACAGGTGGAATGTGTAATAATTCACATTCACATGAAAAATCCTCCTCAATTCCCATTATTTACTGCCAAATCCCCGTTTAACTTTTTTTCTATTTATCGTTCTCCTTTATAAATAATAATATTTCACTGTAAATATTTGATCAAATCGATAAAAATACTTCGCAAAATTTTTATAATAAACTCATTATTATTGAAAAACTGGTTCTTTAAATTGCTTGCAAACACGAATTATGTAATCTGATTCATTATTACTTAATAACTTTCGAAATTAAAATTTATAAATCAATCACTGAACTGAAGTGAAAAATTTATGATAGCAAAGCTAATTCCTGAAGAAAACCGATGAGTTGGTTTAATTTCAAGGCTTTCCTCTCAGACCTCTAATTTATGCCGTCTTATTGGAATCAACTGTAATTTTTTCTACCCATCTATCGACTGGCCTACGATCAACTGAGCGGTCCCTGCCCTTTCATATCCGTGACCAAGAAGCTATAAAATTGACGATGTCAAAATTTGTCTATTTCTCGATCACTGCACGCTGACTTCACCGAATTTCAATAATGTTACCAAGGAAATTTCAAATGAATCCACGAAAACTGTAAAATAACCGAAGAAGCGACAAGTAATCTAACCAATTCGTTCATCCGTCCTCTAATACTTTAATAATTTTATTACCATAGCTGTCAATCATTTTTCCATATTCATTCATTAAATTATAAATCAAATTACAAAAAAAATTACAGTCGCAATTTTCCATAAATGCCATGAAAGATTTATTCCAATCAACGGACAGGCAATCGGATTCATAACGCTCGCGACTCCTCACTTTCAGTTCTCCAAAATAAGCTGACTTGGTTTCCTTCCTTCGATTAACTTATGCATCGGCCATATTACATGCAATTTCTAATAAAAAGGAATAATAATTTTATTCAAAAACCTCAATTAAATAAACCTGTTTAGTCCATTAAATATTTTCAAATGGTAGAAAAAAAAATTTAAATTTCGAAATTTACAAGAAAATCCTCTTTTCTTCAGCAAAAATTTGTGTCATTTTCCTCATATAACAGGATAGAAACTATTTTAATGAAAGAAATTATAAATACAATTCATTATCAAAAACTGAACCAGTATTGAATGAAAAGCTAATCCAATTTTCTTTCAAACCAATTTCCAGCGACTATCCTAGTAAATAAACAGTTGCCTATATTAAAGCTCCACTAGTTCCTGCTTTAATTATATATAGTCTCGAGGTTTAATTTTCCGACCCTATAATATAAGCTTAGTCGATTCGCACACACTCAAATCAAAAATTATGCTTTTTTCGAAGAATCGAAAATTTCCCCATCTGCATCCCACAATAATCTCTTTTCGACATAATCGGCTACCCGATTAGGAGAGAGACGGCGATGCCTGCCTACTGCCCGGCACTAACAATCACTCGCTGTCTCGTTTCCCCTCAATAAACAATCGGATTTTAATAATAATCACCATCATCTCTATAGTTCAAATTAAACAATAATTTACCCAACTCACTACTTTTAATAAGAGCGGTTGAGCGGTTACTTAGCGTTTCTTCTTAATTATTTAAAATATTACATAGATTAAATTAGGAAAAATTAAGCAGAAAGCACACTTCAAACAGATGGCATAAATTTATAATATTCCTTCTTCTCAAATCTTTTCCCTTCTTTATTTTTTATTTCATCGTCCATTATCTTCAGAAATAATTGCGTCTGAAACTAATTATTTGTTTCTATTTAATTAAATCCACCATGAAATATTACTTGAAAACATAAACAATAGTTATTAGCACTTTCTCACTGAAAAACAATAACCTTAATTTCACAACCATATAAATCACCACTTTTAACGCAGTATTACAAATTTAAGCCAGAGCAGCCGAGTAAATAAAGATTATTATCGCGTTCGGCTATTGCCCCCGAAAAAGCCGACCCATTTGTATTTCGATCGCCAAGTGATTCCTTGTCAAAAATTTACTAGACCAACAGCCATAGAGCCAGCCTAACCAGAAATGAGCGCTAACCACACATTTACATCATTTTTACACTTTTGTATAGCCTCATTATAAAAATAAATATCCTCTGAAGATTTTTCCATCCTTAAAATGAAAAAATTACGATAAGTCAAGTTTACAAGTGAGCTTTTTTATAGAAAATATTGACTTCCAACTCAATATTTCTTCTGATGTTTTTATTTCGGTAACAATAAGTGATAAATGAGTTAATATGATGAAATTTCGCCAGGAAGTCGATCACTTGGATTCATAAATAATTATAGGTGAGTGTCAACATTAAATTGACTTTCAAACCATACTATTTCTAATTCAATTATTTAAAAAAATTTTTTTTCTCGGCACGTGTGGATGATATTGTTTATCTGTCTATATGAATAAGTCCCATAAAATCTTGGCTTTAGTATTCTCCACATTTGTATATATATATATTTTATATATATATTTCATTAATTTGTTGAAAATATAAAAATAAATGTTTTTGATAAATACTGAACAGAAAGAATGAATTATTATATAATTTTAAAACATATCTGGTGATGGAATATTTACATAAAATAGATTCAAAGAAATAATTCAAGGAAGTAGAATGATATAAAAAAATGATAAAATCTTCAGTAGTTTGTCTTGATCAAATAAAGTAGCATAAAGAGTATCTATCAATCTATCCATTTAGCCCGTATTTAACACTCTCATCAAGTAATAAATTACTTCTCGAATCTTTGCAAACAAAACTTGGCAGACAAATCGTAAAATCGTATAATCAATACAAACTAACCAAAACCAAAAACTTACAAATTAAAAAAACGTGAACCGGCAGAAGAAAATTTTTTTGGCCAAAAAAAATGAAGTAACAAACAAAAAGAATAAGTGTAGTAGGGATTAGGTAGCTGCAACAGCTGGTGTCTCTACTGATGCCGTTTGTGAATCAATTTTTTTGCATAGTTCCTCCTCGAAATTCTTCTCTTCAACTACCTGAAACGAAAAAAATTCCTTTCAAAACAATTATTTGCAATGTAATACCTGGAATCCATGATTTGTGTAGTCTGATCTTACATTTAAGTTTGGCCGAACCACTTATTTTTGAATATTTGAATATAACATTTAGTATATTATTTGGGATAGAATGGCTCGGTGAGTTGTTGCCCAATTGGCCGATGCTGAGGTTCGATTTCCCGCAGGAGTAAACCTGTACAAAAATCTAGGTGATGCTGGCGTCTCACCTGTATTTCTATCGCCAAAGAGACTCCCTGGCATACTACCCAACGCGACAAGCCAGTGGAGCGAGTTTAACCAGTAATGGTGAGGATACTTCAAAAAAAAAAAAAATATTTGAATATTTAATGAGTATATGACAGTCAAAGATTACAGATGTATTCCCTTTAACATATATTATCCACCCATATTCGTCTCTTCTAGCATTCTAATAAATTGCTCCTAATGTTTTAATATATTTTTCAGTAGCATAACCTTTTTTATGTTATTACTCCTTTTACTTTTCCTTATATCATGTTTATCTATTACGAAAAATGAAGATGAAATTTTTCAATATGACAAATCAAAACTAAAATGTCGTCAGAAGATGGACAAAAAAGAGAAAGACGAAGAAAATTGATTTTGATGATATACAATGATAAAAGATGGAAAAACAATGAAAATTTGCTTTTATAGACATATATCTATTTTTAGAATCATTAATAAAAAAGAAAATTTGTCTCCTATCTCTTTCTTTCCCTATATATAATTCAATCTTGAACTGCATTGAAATCCATTCGAATTAAAATTTCTTAAGGAAAATTATACCCTTTTGTTGCTTAAAAAAACCAATTCATCCATCCAACAGCTCTCATTCACAAGTTGAATTATCATTTTATTAGCATTTATTAGTTGATACCACATCATATCAATTATCAAATCGTTAACTTAAAAAAAACCTTTTCAGCAGCAGTTTTTTCAGCTTTTTCCTTTTCTTCGGCTTCTTTTGCAAGTTGTTTTGGAGACTAAATTATTTTTTCGATTAAAAACTCTCCCAATTCTCGTCATCGACAAGATAGCGATTTTTTTCATTTTTTTCTTAGCTTTCAAACTAATAAAATAAAAAAAAAATTATGGAACAAAAGAAGACAAGAATTCATTATCATTAAAACAGTCAGTCATTCCAAATTTCGTTACTTACAAATTCTATTTCAAAAAAACGTTTTAAAAATTTTGCATATTATTATTCTAAATTTTTACGGATATATATTTGAAAAAATTATTTCTTAATTGTAAAAATTGACTAATTATAATAATTAACTAATTTCTATACTTTTTTCTGTACAAATAATACTGAAAATTTAATGATGAAATTAAAAAAATTTAATCTTTCTTAAGAGAAATTTCCTTTTTAACTTTTAGATAAAATGAAAATTCTTTATAATTAAATAAATCACAAATTTAACGAATATTTAAGCACATAACATGTACCTTTAAGAATAAATTGGTATAAAATCTTGATAAATTTTATTATATACCGAAAATTTTAAACATTTTAAAGTTGTGGATTTTTTCTCAGCTTTTCTAGAATACTAATAAGACCCGAAAAAACAATCAAATAACTATTATTCTCGGGAATTCTTAAAAGTATTTATATAAAAAATATCGATGCTATTAGTGCAAAAAATCCAACTTGAGCTGGTCGAGCACGTCGAAAGAAATTTAGAATAGTTTGTATGAGATTTGTTTGCGTTACTTGCGATGCAACTTGAACAAGTTGATCCACATCAATTCCCTAAAAATTTACGAATTAAATTAATTTCACGTTCTAAAAAATTTGCTAAATGGTAATAAAATAATTAATACAAAAAATAAGCGAACTTTTTGTTCGAAAAGTGCTTGTGTTTTTAAACCCAACTGCAGAAGAGTATTAAAGACGGATTGATAGCCAGCTTTGCCTTTCTCCAGCAAATCTTCAATCGTGAATATCTAAAAATAATTACTTTTCAAATTCAATTCAAATCCTTTCTCCAGAAAAACACTTTGATATTTATTAGAATAAAAAAGTAAAAAAAAGGAAAAATCTAAATAACAACTGAACAAACCAATAAATCTTTTCCCATCGTGTGCAAAATAATTTAAAATTTTTTTAAATAAATAGAAAAAATAAATTGGAAACAAATTTGGAAAAACAAATTTTATAAAAATTTTTGCAAAAATAACAAAGTAGTTTAGGAAAACCAAATAATTTTTTCTTTATAAAATTATATAGCAAACGATAATTTTTACTATCATTGTATACATAATGAAAAGAGACATCATTTATTTTTTCTATTGAATTGATCATTAAAAATGGAATACGAGTGGTAGTTTAAGCTAGAAAATAAGGCAATCAGTTGGAGGTGGAAATACAGGCAAATCCTCAGAAATATCTGGAAGGTTTCCTCCTCTTGGAAATAAGATTATAACCTCAATATTTCAGATAGTCTAATTCAATTTAATTATTGATTGAAAGAAAAAATAATAAAAAAAATAGAGTCTAAAAAATGTTTAAACTTTTCTTCGCAGATCTATATTTCAAGAAAAATCTAAAAAAAAACGATTTGTTGAAAAAAAAAGTAAAATAAATAATTTTTGACTGCAAATTCTACAATTCTACAAAAAAATAAAAAAAATTAAAAAAATAAATCTCCGTCAATCAATTGAATTTCGCTTTTAATGACAGGTTTACTCATGTCAAGAGGGAAAAAACTTGGAAAAAAGTAAAACTCTCGCTTCCTATTAAAACGAAACAAATATCATACAAACCTGATCATCAGCAAGGCCAACTTTATCCTTTACAAAATTTATAAATGAATTAATATTCGATGCTTGATTTTCTTTAGTTCTCGCTTTATCATCTTCATGAATCGTTTCAACAGTTCCTGGCTGAAGACGATTTGCTAAATTTGCTAATAAAACACCATCGCGCAGAAATCCAAGAAACTGATTCTTAGTAACCGAATCATTTTTGCCAGGTAATGGTCGTCGTTTACCTTCATCCTCGACAGCCAAATGTTGTGCCCAATCAAGTAAATGATAATTTACCTTAAAAGACAAGTGAAATTAATCGCAAAAAGGAAACAAAAATTTGAAATTTAGTAGATATTTGAAATTTGAAATTTAATTTTCTTTAAATTTCATTAAATTCTTTAAATAATTTAAAAGCAGAATTATAGAATTACGGACCTTATGAACGGCATTTGGCAATAAGGAATTTAACCAAGCGATAGCATTTTCTCTTGGATCTTTCGATGCTTCTTGTGGCTTTTCTTCACTTTTGGCTACCTTCTGTACTTCACATTCTTTATCTGCATCTGCATCTGCAGCTGGAATGTCACCGATACTTGCTTCATTTTGCAACGATGTTGGTGAATTTGCTGCCTATAATTTAAGACAAATTTAAATAAACAGATAATAAATTACGATCAAATAAATAAAAATGAATGCCTCAAATTAAAAAAAAAACTACCACATCCGGTCCACCATTTGCAGATTTTTCTTGTATATCAGACATTATAAGCGATATGTATTTACTTTTAAAATTAACTAATCAATTATTATAATTAATATTATTGACACGAACGGAGTGACTGAAGAACTGAATTTGAAAAAGACTGAATTTATCTGAAATTAATGAAAGAAAGTAATTTGAAAAAAGAGCAAAACTATAACGCTTAAAAGTAAACTTTACTGTGCAAAGAACTATGTGAAAGACAAAAAAAAGATTATTCGAAAAAATAAATTAAACAATGACAAAAATAATAAATAAAGAAAACGGAATTAATAATTTAAATTCTAAATTTACGAAACTTTAAATTTCTTTAATTTTTGGTTTTTTAATTAAAAGATTCTATAATTTTCAATTTTTCAACGATTTCTTTAAATAATTAATAAATTAACAAAATCTCAAAAAATAAAAACTATAAATAAAAACGATTTAGCATAACGATTTAACGATTTTCAAAACTAAAATAATTTCAAGGCTGAAGTAAGCAAAAGGGAAATAAATCATTAAATCAAATGGCGCCAACGCTAATTAACCAAAAATTTTACTGAATTATGCAATAGCTCCAGCGATTTTTGTTGCATCTGGCTTTGGTACGTTTAGATATGCTATTTGGACATTGTCCGCTGCTAACAAAAACTATTCTTTTTTAAGGAGGACTTCACTGTTGAATGGACTGCGCTCAGAAAAAAGTTGATACAATGATTTGGGAAGATCTTTGAATACCAAAAGGGAACCCTATCTGAAGAATAAGTTTGTCCACCGCTGGACTCACCCATTATAACTTCATAATCAACGATCATAATACAGCCATACAATTTTGTCAGAGACGAAACCACAGCCAGAGTCAGCCAGGAAGGAAAGTTCCATCAACAGCACCAGACCGCACCAAATTTACCCAGTTCTATATCGAAACCCTCACTCATCTGCCAAACTCTCTAAATCTTTCGCAAGCCTTTCAATTTTTCCACGACAACTTTCCAAAAAAGAAACTAGAGAATCTTGAAAAGGATCTCTTCCACCACTTCACTATGGACAGAAAATCTCCAGTTCCAGCAGATTCCACTGCTCGCATTTTTACGCAATAACGTTGCACCATGTTGGCAAATTTTGTTCAGTGCTGCTTATTTCGATAAAAAACTATACATTTTGAATAAAACAATAGTATGTTAAAGTGAAAATCGAACGACGACCCAACAGCTAAAAGAAAATAAATTTAAACACATTTAAAGAATTTTAAAAACACCAAACTCATTTGAAATAACCGCGGCAATTTAATTTGATTTTCAGTTATACGCTAATAATTTTGCTAATAAATTAATAAATAATTAATTTAATAATTTATGTATAATTAAATCATTTCAATTTGTTTGCTTCTTTTTTAATTAATTAATTTCATGCAATAACGTTAAAAACTATTTTTCGTAAATTTTACTTTACAAATTACCACTGCATATATCCAATTAATGATTACTAAGAACGAATAACGCTGACGAAATAATACATTATTATAACAGTCTGTAAGAAATATACTTATGTGTTGTATTGAGGCACTATACAATTCCCAAACTTTTACGACCGTCATTGATTAAATCTGCCAACGAAGAAGGAATCTGACTGTCCACTATCCACAATAGAAGCGATAAATACCATTTTCGTTAGTTTTCATAAGTTTCGTTCCCATATTTATAGTTATTTATATATTTTTTAAAAATCTGTGAGCTGTTAAAATAAAAAAGAATTTTGAAACCTTAAAAAATTTTTTCTCTACTTCCGCGAATATTCGTAAATTAATCGCGCAAATCTTAGAACGCGTGAATCAGGTACCACTCACCTATCGATTTTTGTAAAACATTTATGCCGAGACGATAATGCAAATTTTATTTGAAAAAGTCTATTGGTCACTCGTAAAAAAAGAGATGGTGGGAGAGAGAATCAGATAATCAGGAAGAGGATTATAAAGCATATAAATGGTGGATAAACAGAGAAAAAGAATGAGTCACTCGGTTTGGAATGATAGTTGAATGAATTCTTTAATCAAATTGATTAAGCAACATTAGTAGATGTGGCAAGAAAATAATGCAAATAATGGCTATTTTAAAACCTTAAAAAATTTTTTCTCTACCTCCCCGAATATTCGCAAATTAATCGCGCAAATCTTAGAACGCGTGAATCGGGTACCACTCACCTATCGATTTTTGTAAAACATTTATGCCGAGACGCTAACGCAAATTTTATTTATGAAAAAGTCTATTGGTCACTCGTAAAAAAACAAGACATACGACTTGAGGAGGAAGTGACAAAGGTCATTCCATGGGTGACCTGTTAAAAGCAAACGTGCAAAGGTCACTATATCGGTGCGCTACAAAGTAGAAACAAGTCAAAACCAACAAATTATCAATCAACTACGTCGAAAAGTCGCAATAGCTTTATAAAATTTTTCAAAAAAAAGTCAATAAATCAACTCGAGATATTCCCAACGACAAATCATGTTAAACGAGAATAGAATCAGGCCAAAGGTCAGGCACTGTTGGCAAAATATTTTATATTTTCAATTACTGGGTCAAGGGTCAGCACGAAAAAGTGGATAAGGGTAGATTGTAAACGAGAGATGTGAAGAAAAACGCAAAAAAAATGGAAGGCTGAAAGGTCAAAGGTCTAGAATATATCTTTGCAAGTTTAATAAATTTCTATGCAATTTGGTTATTTCCCGAAAAAAATACAATAACACAGAACGAACCGCATGGCTTATAGTTGAAGTTCCAGAATAAAAAGATTAAATTATTCCATTTTCGTACACCAACATATAACTATTGATAAATTAAGATTACTAATTAAGGAAGGGTCCTCTGGACCAAAAGCCCAAATACCAAATAAGAATAAAATAATGACAACTGCTTAGGTTGGAACCTGAACGAAAGCATATGCGGCACTCATTCATTGCACTCGGCTATTATGCAAACCATTTTCGTTGCTCCGCCTTTCCTCATTTTATATTATAAACCACGCCTTTTACCGTACGGGATGACAGAGAGAGTGACAAAGGGAGAGGGGCAGAGAGAAAAAAGAAAGAAAATAAAAAATGGAAACAACTACTAATTAAAAAGGGGGTGCGATAGGCCTAGGCTTATTATTCATTCTGGGCAGAGGGTCAATGGGATTTATTAAGGGGGTGGAGGGGGGGGGGGGGGGGGGGGGAGAAGCCTAAAAGGCACAATTATACTAAAGACAATTTACCCTGGGGAAGAAGTCAAAGTGAAGTTAACCAATAATTAAAATTATTTTTGCGAATAATAAGGAAAAAAGTTGTTTACTTACGAAATAATTTTTAATACGCTTCTAATTTATTTAAATATCTGATCCGTTTCACATTAGCAATTAAAAGGTCAAAGTTTAAAGGTCAACTACATCGAAGTTAAGTTAATTTAAGTAAATAGTAATAAAAACTTTACAATAAATAAAATTTTTCTCTTAAAAATGTCGAATCTGAGGATGTCGCTTTTTCTTCTCAAATGCATTCATTTGAACGGCAGTTGAATTTCAGCAGAGAAAAAAATCACGTGTGTCACGTGTAGAAAAATACGTGTTTTTTTTCAGACAATGAAGATAATCGGTACTTGTGGAGTTATTGCACCATATAACGATTATCACGATTATTAATCATATTAAAGGAAATTATAAAAAAAATTAGTATAAAATTAGTATTTGGGTAGTTATCACCGATAATCTTATTAAAACTAAAATTCTGGTGGAACGAAGTGATTCTTAGAAAAAAGGATTCCGTCCTAGGAATGGAACGAGCCAAACCAGAAACAACAACAAGAACAACAAGAGAAAAAACTACCAAATTTTTCCAGAATTAATGCCGAATTTTATAATAATTATAAAATTTACGGACATATCGGTTGGAATTAGGGTTAAAACACTCTGAAAAAGTCGATGGTCGGCCGTTTGAATTTCACTAATCCTGGTTGCCTTAATCCCTTCTTCATTCTTCTAACTAACCTCTTATCCATTTGACTGGTGAAAACCTAGAAAATTAATTTCCCTCGAATTCAAATTTTTTTATAAATTATGACAAACAAAGACAGTGAATTTACCTGAGAGTGTCTCCCATAGGCAAATATACTTTTCTTGAACTGCGTTTCTAGCATGACCTTTAGTTGTACAGGCATATTATTCGTTCGGCATCTTTGGCGAAAAACGACTTTTTTCCCTTTTTTATTTAAAAATTTTTCCGACTTCAGAAGACGTCTTCTTTGCTTCTCCAATGATTGATGGTTATAAAATTAGTTTCTAGACTTTTGGGCTTAATCTCTCCTTGATTTAATCTCTGATTCGCAATGATAGGGTCACCGAGTTTATGTTGCTTCAGACTAAGGTCTAAACATCTTAGATGATTCGTGACGCGAGTGCTAGTGAAATACAGACCAGTGGAACCACCTCCTTTTCTACACTTAGGTGACAGTGCAGGAACCTCAGCTAGAAGGATCAACTCAACTGGAAATAGCAAATATTTTTAAGGGAAAAAGAAAATATTAATTGTTAGTGTGAACGATGATGGAAATTTTTTTGCAGTAAAAAGTTTCGTTTTAGTTGCCAATTGTCGAAATCGTTTTTCATTCTTTCTTTGTTTTATAAATCAGACAAATCTTTTCTTACTTTACAAAGTAATGATTTATTTTTTTTTTCAAAGAAAGATTGAAAAAGAAAAATGAAAAAAATATTCTCGAAATCTTAAACAGTAAAAAAATTTGATAGATTAGTCTTTTTTTAGATTTTAATAGGTTCCGTTTTAGATTCAAGAAATCGATCGTGGATGGTGCCAAGGATCCGTCGTTATATGAAATTTCTATGGCCCTCTGGTGCTTCTCCTAATAAACAACCAGTGAAGGCCGTTAAAACAGAAATAATCAGAAGAACAAAAGGACTCCTTTTCTTTTGGCGATTTGGTAAAATCCAATGGTTTTTTTGCGTACTAAAAGCAATTATTACGAAAAAATATGAAT